TAAGGTTAGGGCCTCCTGCGTTTTCCCCTGCAGCCCTACAGCAAGCTTCTTGCGCGGTCATTTGAGAACGTACCGCATCTCCGGCGCTGATAAACTGCCTGGAGAGCAGGGCCTGGGCGGGGGCCGCAGCACATGCGCAGCGAAATGGGCTTGAGGGGATGAAGTCAGAAGTTTCAAATGTTTTAACAGAGTATTCAAAATGTCTCATTTTCCCTTATAAATTGAAAGCTCTGGATGCCACTGCTAAGGCCCTTCCCAGTTTATGCGTGTATGGCTCTTGGAAACTCTGATCTTGCCTCCCAAATCTTAAGTCAACCTTTCAACCGAAATAGATTCAGGGGTCCCGCGGCCAGGGCGCACCAGGAAGGCAGGATGTGGATGGACAGTCGATACCGGGCCCAGGGTCATCCCCGCGGGACGGGAGATCTCTCACGCTGCGTCCTGAGAGGAAAGTTCTCTCCCCAGCTTTGCCTGCCTCTCAGCCCCACCGCCGGTTTCTGCGCAGCCCGTGCAACTCAAAGTTCTCTTTGTTCCTCAGGTACCTGCGCTCAGGTAACCAGGCAGATGTCCTATCTCAATGGGCTCTTCTACAGCAGCTCAGGAGTGGTATCTGGAAGCCAGCCTTGACCTTGGGGGACCTCCGAGAGCCTGGGACTCACCGGCAAGAAGGGCGCGTATCAGTTTCCTGTGGCTGCAGGAACAATTGCTACAGACTGAGCAGCTTAACACTGAAGTTTATTCTCTACAGTCCTGGAGCCCAGAAGTCCAAAATCAAGGTGTGGACAGGGGCGTGCTCCCTCTGTAGGCTCCAGGGGAGAGTCCTCTCGCCTCTCCCAGCTTCTGGTGACTTCAGGCCTCCTCGGCTTGTGGCCACATCCCTCCAGTCCCTGCCTCCCCCTTCACATGGCTTTCTCTCCTGTCTCAAATCTCCCTCTTCCTGTCTTACAAGAGATCGCACTGTCACTCACTAGAACCTTGATAAAGCTCTTAGCAGGCTGAAAGAAAATAGCGACCATTTTTCCCCTGCTCTGAACTGTGGCTGAGCTGCCCTCTGCCTCCGCCGTGCTGGGTCGCTCTTCCCTCTCCACGAGGACTGAACCACGTAGCAGGAGGGACAGGAACGCATGCGCGCTCACAGCCGGGCAGATCACTAAGTGCTGCGGATGGAAGGCTGACGAGTACGACTGATAATAAAGTTAATTGTTACCCAGTCAGCGGAGTCTGTCCAGGTTTACACGGGAAACCGCATTTAAGCTCTTGACAAAATACTCTTGTCCCCCTGAGTCAGCACCTGCAGTGATCCCCAACGTGTGTGGGACACTCGCCTGGGGAATGCCTGTTGCCTGCGGTAGGCCTGGAGGTGAGCAGGTGGCAGCAGGTGACAATGCAGCTCTCCCCGTTACAGCCAGGAGGCACCGAGGGTTAGGAAGTGGGACTTGCCCCAAAGTGGGGCTCAGCTTGCTGCCTCGTGCAAGTAATGAGTGAGGGCACTTTCTGCTCCTGGGAGCCAGGCGGTGAGGGGACCAGAGGGTGGGGCTGGCTTCCCGCGCAGTCTCTCCGCAGGGACTTCCCTGGGCAGGCAGGCGCCCGGCGCTCACTCGGGAGAGGGAACGCGGCCGCAGGGAAACGGGGCGCGGGTGGGGTGGCGCGAGGGAGGCCCTGCTTCACGCCGAGGAGCCGGCCTTGAACTCCGTGTCTGGGTTTGTGTCAGGCTCGGCTATTTCCCGCTTGTGCACTTGGCCCCACTCCCTTAGCCCTCTGAGCTGGCTTCCTGGTCTGTCAAATGAGGGCGACTAAACCAGCGAGATTTATCACCGGGTCCGCAGGGTTCATCTGCATGTTTAAGTTCCGGAGCCAGGGGACCGGCCTCTCCACCTGTAAAATCAGGGTCTCCGGCTCCCGGGAGCAGTGGGTGATGCTGCCCTTGGGGTTCCTACTGTGCAGCGCCCGCACCGGCCCAGCGCGGTTCCTGGCGCGGTGGTGGCTCTTGGTAACTGTTAGTTCCCTTCTTTTGCCGTTGGGCCACACTTTCCCCCTCTTCTACTCTGTCTCAGCTGAGCTCCCATTTCTTCTGCCCACCTGAACCTCCTGCCCCTCTGTTCTCCCAGAGGGAACAAAGACGAGGTCCAGTTTGGTCACCCGGTGAAGGGGCTAGCGGAGAGCTGGCCTCGGCTCCTGCCAGGGTAGCACAGTTGGGAAGGTTCCCCTCCCCCACCTCCTCCCCCAACTGAGGCAATGGGGGAGGGGATTCCAGTGGACGTGTTAAAGTGCCATTGAGATGGTAACCACCACGCCCAAGGGGGCCCCCACCTCCCCATATCAATGGCATTCCAGCCCCCCTGCGGTCCCCTTTAAGCCCCAACTTTAACCCTTCCGTTTCCAAGATCCAACTGAATCCACGTGGACCAGCGGACCTAGAAGAGGGCCTGGGACCACGCAGCCTAGGCCTAAGGAGGGCTGGGGATGGCAAGCGTGCTCCTGCCTGTGTGCCCTGGAAGCCGCCCCCAGGCCCTCCCTCGCAGTACCCCCCCACAAGATCCACCACCCCCTTCCAGCCTCTCCTAGTGCTCCGAGATATTTTCCCACTTTTACTCTCCCACTAGGCCTTGGGGAGAAAAAGAGTAGATTTAGGGTGGGAGGAAGCTGAGGCCGCCATGACGGCAAGTCACGTGGGAACCGATCGCTGGGGTGGGGGTGTCTACGTCCTCTAGGCAGCATGGGATTTCCCTCTCTGCTTGAGTATAGAGATGCTAGCCAAAGAGAAATTGGGGTCTAAAAAAAGTGTGATCCTCTTGGTGCCATCTCCAGGCCTGACATTTACTAGGTTGTGCAGCCCCCACTGGGTTCCAACGTTGGGGTGTAGAGCTGCCTGTAGAGCTGGTGGGCCACTGAGGGAGGCCCGACCCCAGGCTGACCACCGTTCCAGTTTCCCCAGGGCACAGGACTCAGTATTCAAGCTGGGAATATGCTTGGGGGGAGGCGAGTTTGTCACCTTAGACCCAAGATGAGAGGAGGACTCATCCTGGGCCTGGGGAAGAGAAAAGCCCCTAGTCGGGGCTATTGAAGGTTGGGGGGGCGGTGGGCCCTTGCGGAGACACCTGCCCAAACCTGTATGGCTGGATTCCTGGCAGCCCCTGGAAGGCTGCAGAGGGAGCCCACTCACAGGGCCCTTCTGCTCAGCCGCCTCCACCCCCACCCCCTGAAATCCAAGCCCCAGGGGATGAGCTGGACAAACCACCCACAGATTCCCTGAGTTCGTCACAGTGGCCATTCTCCAGCCTGCTGTCCTCACCGCCACCCTCTGGCCTCAGTGGGGCCACCGGCTTGGCCCCTCATCCCGGAGCAGCGCTTCCCTGTGGGGAGGCCTGGGGCCATGCAGAGGAAGCCCTGGCTCCTAACTTCCCGACCAGCATGTCAGCACTGGCCTCAGTCTCTCTATTTGGATGGGGAAGGCATCCTAAGTTTTTTCGGGTCACAGACCCCTTTGCAAATCTGGTGAAATATAAACCTCTCTTGCAAAAAAGATGCTAAAACCCATTCCCAGAAGCAATGCTCCCACCCCTGGGTTCGGAACCCCCGAGCAATCCTTGAGGTTAGAAACCTTTATAAATAAAGCTCCACTGGTAGGTGAGGCCGCACTGAGCAGGGGCGAGTGGTGTCCCCAGCCCTCCTGGCACGGGGACCAGCTCCCTCAGAGGAGTGTGGAGGAGAGGGGCTCTCCCAGGTGAGGGCCCTCTGCTCTGGAAAGCAGCCCTCCCCTTTTCAGATAACGATAACCCAGTTCCTGCCACCCAGGGAAGGGCTCGAGGGAGTTCATGAATCTCCTGAAATGAGGGGCACATGTTTGTGGGAGCATATTAAATGGGTCTCTGACCCAAGGAGGTTAAGAAGCTTGCCGTTCCATGACCTGTCCCAGTAAGGGTCAGCATTTGAGCTGTAGTCAGTGTGGCTCCCAGGCTGCCCCCCTGGGAAGGGGTCTTTCCTTTGGACTGGAAGGCAGGGCTCAGGCACACCCGGCCTTGCCCCCCTGTGGTGTCCTGGCCTGGGAGGCCTGAAGGGCCACTCACCCAGGGAAGAGAACCGGGTCCTGGGCTGCCCCTCTCCGCCCCCACGTGCCTGCCCTCCCCCACCTCCACAACAGGCCCTTTATCCCCGGGCCTCTGGAGACCAGGGCAGCTCAGCTCAGCCCCCCAGTTTCAGCAGCGGGGGCGGGGAGGGCACACCTGAGCTGAGACAGAAGTGGGGGGGTAGTTTTCTAGGCCGTTGCCAGGGCAATGTCACCTGAGCTGGGCGCCAGGCACCTGTCGCCCGGGGAACAGTGTGGGTGGGGCCCCTCCCCCAGGAGCCACCAGGGCCACTGGGCTGAGACTGGGGACAGATCGGGTTCCAGAGAGTCCCGGGTGGTGGGGGACAGGTGAGGGGGTGTGCGATACTCGGGGAGCTGGAGTACCTTTGCATCCAGAAACTAGGTGGGGACAGGGTGAAGATGGTAGGTGGCCAAGAGAGGCTCAGGAAGGCAGGCTGAAGTCCCCCACAGCCCCGCCGCCACTCTCGGTCCTCAGCCAGTTACTTTTTTGCAGTCCCCACCCTCATTCCTTATCCCTCAGCTTGTCTCAGTCTTCCCACTCCTTTGAGCCTAGGTTCCCACAGTCAGGGACACTCTTCCTCCCTGAGCCCTCCAGGTCACAGCATCCCCTGCCTTGACCCCCAGGGCCCCATCCCACCCCCTGCCCACACACGCACCCCCCTCGCCCTGGTCCTCCCATCTGTCACTCAGGTTTCCCCAATCACCCGTCCCTGCGCCTCACTCTGCTCCTCCCCTGCTGGTCCATAAAACCCCGCCAGCAGGCAGCCGAGCGGCAGAGTCCCCAGGTGGCAACCACAGAGGGTGCACCGCTGAATGTGAGCCTGCACCAGCCGGGAAGGGATGTGGCTGTCCCGAGCCTGACGGTGGGTCTGGAGGACCCATGCAAGCTTGGCCCGGACGTGACTGCAGGGCATCCGATGGGCGTCAGGCCCTAGAGGGGACACAAGCCACTCAGCTGAGCAGGCCCTGAGTCTGCTTTGTGCGAGGTGAGGATCAGAGAGGCGCCTGTGAGAGGCACGGAGAGAAGCCTTTCAAGAGACTCACAGATGTGAGGACTGCCCTGGCCTGAGGACCGCGACAAAGCTTCTGCCGGCTGCTAGGCACCGAGACCCCCACTCGACACCTCCAACAGGAGTCAACCAGGCCGCCTGGGGCTGAGAAGACCCAACCCAGGGGACAGATGGCTTCAACCGGCCTGGAACTCCTAGGCATGACCCTGGCCGTGCTGGGCTGGCTGGGGACCCTGGTGTCCTGTGCCCTGCCTCTGTGGAAGGTGACCGCCTTCATCGGCAACAGCATCGTGGTGGCCCAGGTGGTGTGGGAGGGGCTGTGGATGTCCTGCGTGGTGCAGAGCACCGGCCAGATGCAGTGCAAGGTGTACGACTCGCTGCTGGCGCTGCCCCAGGACCTGCAGGCCGCCCGTGCCCTCTGCGTCGTCGCCCTCTTGCTGGCCCTGCTCGGCCTGCTGATGGCCATCACGGGTGCCCAGTGCACCACGTGTGTGGAGGACGAAGGCGCCAAGGCCCGCATTGTGCTCACCGCGGGGGTCACCCTCCTCTTGGCAGGCATCCTGGTGCTCATCCCCGTGTGCTGGACGGCCCACGCCATCATACAGGACTTCTACAACCCCCTGGTGGCCGAGGCCCTCAAGCGAGAGCTGGGAGCCTCCCTCTACCTGGGCTGGGCGGCCGCTGCGCTGCTCATGCTGGGCGGGGGGCTGCTCTGCTGCACATGCCCCCCACCCCAGGCCGAGCGGCCCCACGGGCCCAGGCTGGGCTACTCCATCCCCTCTCGCTCTGGGGCATCTGGACTGGACAAGAGGGACTACGTGTGAGGCGCAGGCGTTGGCCCTTGCCCTGAGCTGGCCTGGCAATTGATGCCTCCTCAACCCCTGGTCTTCTACCAAGATCAACCCCCTCTCCCCAGAGGGAAACCCACTTTCCAAAACCTCAAGCCAGACCTGGCTCCAGGGCTCAGTCCGCTGGCCTGCCTCGGTGGTGTCCCCAGCTCCGGTTGTCCCCCCACCCAGACAGAGCCAGAGCTGTTGGGCACCCTGGCGGGCCCTGCCTCCCCCATACCTACTTCCTCTGCTGTCTAGGACACAGGCTGGCCCTCCCCTGCCCCAGGAGCCTGGGCCTCACCCACAGGGCAGTAGCTAGTTGGCTCCATAACAAGGATCAGGTCGCGCCCCTCCCCGCAGTGGGTCTACTCCACATGGAGGCCCTGCCTCACCCACCCCACCCCCACCCAGGAGCTGGGAATAAAAGAGCATTTGGAACTGGGCTCCCTCTGATCTGTGCGCCGGTGCTGGGCAGGGACAGCCAGATGGCCTGCCGTGGTGGCTGTCAGGCCAAGGCCTTCTCCAGGTGCTGTCTGGTGGGTACCATACTCAGGCCATGGGGTCTGAGCCAGGGAAAGCATGGGGACAAAGGATCGTGACTGACCTATGCTCGCCCACCCTCTAGCCAGGTTGGGCACTCACTACCCCTCCCCCACAGCAACACCAAAGGCACATAACAAGACATGCTTTATTTAGTAAAAACTTGTGAGTGTGGGTGGGCAGGGCAGACGTGTTGGGGGGGAGGGGGGTGTCTACAGCATAGCTGGGACCTGACCCAGGGAGGGGTCATGGTAACAGGACGGAGGAGCCAGAGGTCAGAGGATCTGAAAGTGGGTCGTTCTTTGGTAACTTATTGCCTGCTCTTCCAGGGCTGAGAAGAGGGGCTCAAGGGCCCCTGTGGTTTCCAGAGGCCTGACCAGGAAGGGGGTGGCTGTCCCTTTAAGTCTAGGGAAGCCCAGCCCCCTGCAGCAGCAAGAACTCTTAAGGACAGTCTGTCTTGTCACAAAGGCCAGCGCAGCAAGCAGCCTTCATACTGGTTCTACAGCTCCAGGTTGGCTTCCAAGATAGGGATGTCCATGGTGGAGAAAGATCCAGAAACTCAAAGCATCACCTCTTTGGCTCCATCACCCAAAGGTGAGATATGCCAACAGCAGAGCCCAGGTGGCCGTGTGAATCTGACTCATCTTCTTGGTTCAGTTATGAAATGGATTTTAAAAATACCCCCCAAAAATAAAAACAGCAAAAAGCAGAAACAAAAGGTAAGAACCTACCCCAAAGCTGTCAGGCATTGCCATCTTTTGATGGTCACAGCTCAGGGGTGAGGGCTCCTCCTACCCACATCAGACGTAATTCTTGGTGGGGTACTCGGAGGGCCCCCGAGAGGCGGCAGGGGCAGATGCCGTGTATTGAGCCACGTAATGGATGGGGCCCCAGGACCCCCCTGAGGGGCAATTGCAGCACAGCAGCCCCCCACCCAGGAACAAAAGGCCCGAGGCCGCCCAGCCCAGGTACAGGGAGGCCCCCAGCTCCCGCTTTTGGGCATCAGCCACCAGGGGATTGTAGAAGTCGTGGATGATGGCATTGGCTGTCCAGCAGATGGGGACCAGGATCAGGACCCCTGAGATGACAAAGATGATCCCAGAAGTGAGCACCAGGCGGGCCTTGGAATCCTTGTCCTCCACACAGGTGGTACACTTGGCCCCAGCAAGGTAGACCAGCAGGCTGAGCAGGGCCACAAGGAGGGCGATGACGCAGAGGGCACGGGCGGCCTGCAGGTCCTGGGGCAGCGCCAGCAGCGAGTCGTACACCTTGCACTGCATCTGGCCGGTGCTCTGCACCACGCAGGACATCCACAGCCCCTCCCACACCACCTGGGCCACCACGATGTTGTTGCCGATGAAGGCGGTCACCTTCCACATGGGCAGGGCACAGGACACCAGGGCATTCACCCAGCCCAGCAGAGTCAGGACAACTCCCAGGATCTGCAGCCCAGCAGAGGCCATGACGAGGGTGATGGGGCTGCACTGCACTGGGGGACAGAAGCAAAGCAACATTTAGCCTGGCAGGCCCAGGTCCCATGCCACAGCCACCACACAGGACACCAGGAGCACACACACCCTGGGAGTTGGTCACCATATCCTGCAACGTGGGCAGGACGTGCCCCCTGAGCCTCACTTTCCACTGGCACACGGGCACTTCATGCCTCAGCCTTTCTCTTTCTCCCTGGTATTCCTCCCCTGGCAGTTTTGAGTGTAAACGAAAGACGGTGGTATAAAGCCTGCACAAATGCCAGTCCATGGCCTCAGCCACTTCTGAGTACATGTTATCAAGCAGCAGAGTGGCCAAAAGGGGGATGAGAAGAGTGCAATTTCCAGGCAGTGCTGGGGCGGGGGGTGGCGCACAGATGGTGGTTTGGCTCTAGCCCTGAGTCTCAAGCTCAAAACTTGTCAGTTTCAACACTAAGATTGGAGATCCCAAGCTTCCTGCCACCATCCAGTGTCCAAAGCCCTCACCCCAACTTGGTTCCATGCACTAGGCTGGTGGATACCAGCCTGATCTTGAGATCTTGTGTCTGGAGCCTGGGCCACGGCCACCAACCATGAACCACCTCCTTCCTGAGCCTGGAGGTGACCCAAGCTCCTCAGGCGGCAGGCCAGGCCCAGCCCATGCCTGGAGGGGCAGAAGAGGTGGAAACACGTCATTAATCCTCCCTCCATTAATCTCACCCACCTGAAAGCAGTGTCTTCTCCTAGGCCAACAGGTGACTCCCTGGGTCCCACCCTTCCAAACTCCCCTAAGGGCCAGACGGCATACTCTCAAGATTGGGGCATTTTCGGTGTGTACTATACCAAAATGCCTCGCTAGGGTGCTCTCAAACTTCCCCAAAGGAACTAAAACCCTTGGGTTCTGTGTAGTGAACCAGTTCCTCCACCGCCACCCTGCACCTGTCCCCTCACATCCCACTTCGGTGGGAGGTTGCCACAGGAATCAGCTCTGCTCAGGGTCCTGCTGTGGCTCCCCACGGCCCAAAGTTCTTCCAGCGCACGGCTTAGACCTAACCCTAGCGCGGCGCGAGCTAAGGCTCTCGATCCACTTCTCTTAGCCGCCAGTCCAGCCTGGGCCGAGCTCATGACCTCGGGGGAGACTGGCCGGGGCGGACCAGCCCGCGCTTCCTGCGGCCCTCAGGCCCGCCCGCCAGGCCTCTGGCCGAGTTAGGGCCGGGACCACGCCAATCCAGACGCCCCTGCCCTCTCCGCCTTCCTTTTCTACACTGCAGGCTCCACTCTGTTCGAGGGCGCCCCCGGCCCGGGAGCCCCGCGTCCAGGAGGGGTTTAATGGCGGCGCGGGCCGCAGGGTCGGCTCCCGCAGGTGAGGGGGAGGGGATGCCCGCCCGGGAGAGGCGAGGCAGGTGGGGGAGGGGCGCCCGGGGTTTCGGTGCCTTTGTCCCGGGGGAGAGGGGAGGGGCGTTTAACCCTTCCAGAGCCGACGAAGGTTTCGGCGCAGTCCCCGGCTCAGGGACGCGGTGATCTGCGTGGCCGCCGCCAGGCGCACGGCCCGGTTCTCCACACGCACCCCCAGCACCCCGTCCACGCCGCCACGCCCTGCACCCGGCTGCGCGGGGCGTCTCTCCCCAGCACCCACGCTGCCGCCAAGCTCACCTGCCGAGGAGGGTAGGGAAATTCCTAGCACGAATGTGGGGATGGGGCGGAGGCGGGGGTCTTAAAGAGGCGGTGACGTCACTGGACCACCGCCCCCGGGGAGGGGCAGAGACCCCGTCCCGACGGCAGCGGGCGTGCAAATCCCGGCCTCGTCAGAGGGGGGCGATCCAGGCTAGGGCCCCGGCGCCCGCATCTTGCTGGGGTGCGGGGACCTGGGCTGGCCCGACCCACTGAGGGTGAGCGCGAGGGGCCTGGAGCCGAACCGAGCCCGAGTCTCGGCTCCACCTACCAGTGGTGTGACATTGGGAACTCACCTAACCTTCCCGAGCCTCAGTTTCCTACTCTGCAAAATGGAGACCACAAGCCTGTAACTAGGTCCTGGGGTATAAATTAAGGGCTCATTATTTTGTGGTGTTGTTATACCCGCGGGGCCCTTAGCAAAGCTGCAGTTATCGCTGCAAGGACTGTTCGTGTCTGTCGCCCTGCCCCACGCCCCCGGGCTTGAGCACCGAGAAGACAAGGCCGGTGCTGCGGGGCCCTGGTGGCTGGAGCGACTGGGCCGCGTTTGTTGAACGAATGACCGAACGTCGCGGGCCGGGAGGGGCGGGGCGTTCTGGAGCCGCTCGAGGGGCGGGCAGAGCGGCGAGCTCCACCCCGGAAGGCGGGGGCGGGGCGGGGGCGCTGCTTTGGGTCCCCGCCGGCCGGCGGCGGGCGCAGACGGCGACGGCCGCGGGACGCGCACCATGGCTCGGGGCTCGCTGCAGCTGCGGCTCCTCGTGCTGGGGCTCGGGCTGGCGCTGCTGCGCGCCGCGGCCGGGGAGCAGGCGCCAGGTACGCGGGGCGCGGGGACCGGCAACGCCGGCGGGGCATCCGGAACCGGGATTAGGTGCCTGGAGGACAGGGCGGAACTGGGGGGACCAGGCGGGCGTAGGGACCTGCGGTGAAGCGGTCTCAGACACCGCGCTCCGTGTTGGGGAAGGTCCCATCCCGCTTTAAACTTCATCGACAGTTCGGGCCTCAGTTTCCCTGACTGTCCAATTGGTTGGGGTGGGGTAGGGGGTGGGGGTGGGGGTGGGGCTTCGGCTCTGAAAGTCCGAACTAGAAGTGGAGAGAGAAAGTAAGTTTGAGGGCGGGATGTTTAGTTTGGTAAGGGGGCACGCCCCCAGCCTGGTCAATACGGGGTCTATCTGGCCCCGGTGGTGGAAGAGTTGCGGGTGGGTGGGTGTCGAGAGGCGCTAGGGTCTGTGCGCTCTATACCATGTGGGGTGCCCCCTTCCATCCGGTGACTTCAGTGCCCAGCTATGCGGGGGGAGGGACCCGGGTCGGGCCCGGTGCCCAGCAGTGAGTCAGCCGCCGGCAGCAGGGGGGTTGTGGGGACCTGACCCCCCCTAGCGTCCCGAGGTACGCCCCCCCCCAGCGCTGCCGTGTCCCGGTCGGGCCGTGCGGTCACCTGTGAGGAATGCGGGGGGAGGGCGCCGGTGACTCACGTTATTCGAGCTCGTGGACCCTGACCTCAGACCCCAGAATAGCATGGCCCGCCCCCAGCCTCTGACCGGCGGCCCCCTCCCCAGGCACCGCCCCCTGCTCTCGCGGCAGCTCCTGGAGCGCGGACCTCGACAAGTGCATGGACTGCGCGTCGTGCCCGGCGCGACCACACAGCGATTTCTGCCTGGGCTGTGAGTGAGGGGCGGGGCCGGTGGCGAGTGGACCTCAGCCCAGGGAGAGGGTCGCTGGTGCGGAGAGGCGGCGCAGGGCTTAGGATCTGGGAAAGTAATGCGGAGGGAGTGGGGAAGGCGCTCTGATCAGGGTGGGGGCCACGGCGGAGAGAAGGCTTGAAGCGCAGTTCAAGGGGGCGGGGCTAGCCCGGAGAGGGGCTAGGTGTCACTTAGGGTCCCACTCCCAGGCGCTGCCGCACCTCCTGCCCACTTTCGGCTGCTTTGGCCCATCCTGGGGGGCGCCCTGAGCCTGGCCCTCGTGCTAGGGCTGCTTTCTGGCTTCCTGGTCTGGAGACGGTGCCGCAGGAGAGAAAAGTTTACCAGTAAGTGCACCCCGGCCTGCCTGCCCCCATCACTCCTCCACATTCACACTTCCCCTGCTCATGAATGACCCCACCTCTTATCTTGCAGCCCCTATAGAGGAGACCGGCGGAGAGGGCTGTCCAGCCGTGGCGCTGATCCAGTGACAGTGAGCGCCCCCTGCCAGCCGGGGCGTCGCCCATTCATTCTTTCATTCATTCTAGAGCCAGCCCATGCCTTCCAGACGGGGCTGGAGCCAAGCTGCTCCAACCACAAGGGGGGGTTGGGAGGATGGGTGAATCACCTCTGAGGCCTGGGCCCAGGGTTCAGAGGAGCCTTCCAAGGTGTCTGATTGCCCTGTCTCTGGCTCCAGGACAGAAAAGGAGCCTCACGCTGGCTCACACAAAACGGCTGACACAGATTAAGGAACTGCAGCATTTGCACAAGGGGGTATCCCCCTTCCCTGATGGCCTGGGGTCAGGCTGACTTGAGGGGCAGACACAACACTAGGCCCACTCACTCGGATGTACTGAAATTCCACCACAGGGTTCTCAGCCTGGGAGGGTTAGGGACCTGTTCTTAACACTAGGGGGCTGGCCCTCTAGGAGGGCTGGCCCTAAGATACAGACCCCCCAACCCCAAAGTGGGGAGGAGATATTTATTTGGGGGAGAAACTTTGGAGGGGAGGGAGAATTTATTAATAAAGAAATCTTTAACTTTAAATGGTTTGGAGAGTGGCATGATCCCAGCTTGACTCCCCAGAGCTGGAGGGAGGGAGTGAGTCAGTCAGCCGCGGGGGCGGGGGCGAGGCTGTGACTCACACATTCTCAATGCCTGGAGCCCAGCCTGCCAGGACCTGGCTGGCCTGAACCGTTTTCCAGGGAAGATCTTGAGGGGAAATTCTGCCCTCCCCAAAGTCCCCAGGTTCCAGACTGAAGCCTTCTTTTGCTTATCAATCTTTATTCAGTTCTCCTAGGGGTGGGGGCGGGGGCGGGGGCGGCGGCCTCCCTTCCCAGGGCTCCACTGGGCTCAGTGTCCTGTGTTAGGGGAAGGTCCTGGTACCCAGATGCCTGGTCTGGAGGAGAATAGGCAAGCACCTTGTCCCTTCATGGGGGTCGCTGGTCTCTTTTCTTGTGGGGAAGGTGGGAGGGGCACTGCCCACCGGCACTCAGAGCTCCATTGTATCCCCAGCTGGGGTTGCAGGATAGTGGGGCACGGGGGTGTCCCCCAGCCTCAGCAGCCGGAGGGCCTCAGGGATGAGGCTCCCAGGGTAGCGCCAGAGAAGCAGCTCAGAGCAAGAACTCCTGGAAGAAGATATGACAGTCAGGGCATGGAGCTGAGGCTGGCTGGGCTGAGCCACCTCCCAAGTCCAGGTTCCCAGAGCCTCCTGGGTTCCCAGCACTTTCCAAGGAGCCAAGATGGGAAATAACACAGAGGTCAACTGGAAGCTAAAAATAGCATGATGAGGCAGAGCCTGGAAGTTGGCTCTGAAGACTGGGTGTGATCCTCTAGAAGGTCCAGCCACTGGGGTTGCCTACCTGAGTGGGGGCAGGGCTGAGGGGAAGGCCAAGTGGGGGGTGCAGTAGGGGTGGTCATTGTGCAGGCTGAGTCGGGAGAAGTGGGTGGCCATGTTCTCCTCAGACAGGAACTGCTTGCGCAGGGGCTCCCTGGGGAGAAATAGGGAGAAAGAAAGGCTGGGATATTGAGAGGGAAGGCAGCCTGATGGGGACCAGAGGTGACAGAGATCTTGTTGGGAGTCCCTCCCTGTCCCCAAACTCACTGCTCCTCCTCCAGGCGCCGCTTGGTGCTCATGGGCACAGCTCCTCGGAGAGGGGAGCTGGGAAAAAAAGAGAGCCAGGTGCACCCCACCCTCTTGGCTCCTTCCCGAGGATCTGCCCGCCTGAGCCTGCAGCATCAGCCAGGAGTCCCTAGCCTATTCCTGTCTCAGCTGACCCTAAGTCACCCGCCTCTCCCAGGCCATCCAGCAGCCTACAACGGAAGTCTGGACCATGAGACCCTGCTCTAACCCCATCTCAGCTCATGCCTAAGCCCCGCCGATTCGCCTCACCCCGTGTCATCCTGCATACCAGCCTGAGCCCCCAGCCCAAGCTCCTGCGCCCCGTGGTCAGGCCCACCCAGGTCCCCTGCACGCACCTGGCGTCCAGGCCCCGGGGCGCCCCCAAGGCGGCCCGCGAATGGCGCTGGGCCCGGCCCTGGGGGCCTCGCTCTGAGGGTTGCTGTAAGATCATCGAGGTTCAGGGTCCTGCGGGTGGAATCCGGGCGACAGGGGCGGAGTCTCCGAGGGCGTGCCCCAACGCGAGGGGGCGTGGCTTTAGGGGCTCGCAGCGACGAGCTTAGGCGCAGGCGCGGGAGACGGGCGGCACGCGGCTGGAAGGCGGGTCTGTTCGGTGGGGTGGGGGAGGGGATCCGGCTTAGCGGGGCTGCGGTGGGCGCCACTTAGTGTCAGGGGGCTTCGCGGCGCTCACCTCGGCTCCTGAGGCTCGGGGTGGTAAGTGACGGCCGCCTTCGCGCCGGTCCGGCCGGCAGTGCAGGGGCGGTGGGACGCCGCGGAGGGGAAACGTTCGCGGGCACGTCGGAATCCGTGAGGCCGCGTCGCCCGCGGAGCACGCTGGGACTTGTAGTTCTCGGGATGGAGCGAGCGGTGCCTCTCGCCGTGCCGCTGGGCCAGGTGAGCCGGCTGTGGTGCGCGGTGCCTTCTGGAGTTTGTAGTCCGTGCCCGGCTCGTGCCCTGAACCCTGTTTTGCGTGGGTTGTTTGTGGGACTTGGACTTGACCCGGGGGCAGGAAAGTAACCCAGAAGTGCCTAAGGAGCCTAACATCAAAGTCAGAGGGTAGGGATTAGAAGTCTGCATTTTTCTGTGTTGGGGTAATAGAGCCACTTTTAAAACACTTTCTCCCTGGCAGCCCTACGCAAAGCTCTTTATATACATTAGCTCATCTAATCGTGACAGAATCTCCTGTGAGTTCCACTTGACAGTGAGAGGCTGGGTGCTTGCTTAGAGGTCACCATGTGTCACGCCTCCACTCTCCCCTTCTCACCCTCTTCTTGGAGCCACTCATGGAACTTCATGGGTAGGTGGTGGCTTGGTGGGTCGCCTCGAAAGATGGATGAGACATCTGGGCAGTGGGAGACCAGGCTGGCAGCAGGGGAAGTGGGCAGCAGAGGTTTCAGACGTCCCAGGCAGGCCTCACCCAGTCTCTCCCTGCAGGCAGAGGTGTTTCAGGCCCTGCAGCGGCTGCACATGACCATCTTCTCCCAGAGCGTCTCACCCTGTGGGAAGTTCCTGGCGGCTGGCAACAATTATGGGCAGATTGCCATCTTCAGGTACCCTCAGCCTCTGTTCCCCACCACCCGTTAGCCTTGGCACTTGGCCTCATGGGACTGATGCCCCCTGCTTCTGACTCCTGACCCCCCTTCCCCCCAGCTTGTCTGCTGCTTTGAGCTCGGAAGCCAAAGAGGAAAGTAAGAAGCCCGTGGTGACCTTCCAAGGTGGGTATAACTGTTGCGTCTGGCTTAGGGGACTTTGGGGTAGAGGAGGGGGCAGGATGAGCTCACTTAAGTTCTGCATTTCCCTTTTCCCTTTAGCCCATGATGGGCCCGTCTATAGCATGGTCTCCACCGATCGACATCTGCTCAGTGCTGGGGACGGGGAGGTGAAGGCCTGGCTTTGGGTGGAGGTCCTCAAGAAGGTGAGGAGTCGAGCAGGGAAGGGCTGGGCTGCCCCGTCCCAGAGAGCCTTTGAGCTCACCCGGTGTTTCCCCTGTGAAGGGCTGTAAGGAACTGTGGCATCGTCAGCCCCCATACAGGTGAGCCAGGGCCACGTGGGTAGAGGGCGCATGGGTGAAGGCACTCCCTCACTGACGCTGACCCTGCCCTCTCCCCCAGGACCAGCCTGGAAGTGCCTGAGATCAATGCTTTGCTGCTGGTCCCCAAGGTCTAAGCCCTTTGTGACTATTCTTGGCCCAAACTTTATTTCTTTGCCCTCTCCCTGTCCTGATTGGACATGGACTTCTGGTCTTACCCTGCCTTCCTCCGCAGGAGAATTCCCTCATCCTGGCTGGGGGAGACTGTCAGTTGCACACTATGGATCTTGAAACCGGGACTTTCACAGTGAGCAGGGCCTTGGAGCTGGTGGCAGGTCCAGGGCGGGGGGGAGGCACTCTTCCTAGGTCTCCTGACACTGCCCCCTCCCTGCAGCGGGCCCTCCGGGGCCACACAGACTACATCCATTGCCTGGCACTGCGGGAACGGAGCCCCGAGGTGCTGTCAGGTGGCGAGGACGGGGCAGTGCGACTCTGGGGTAAGGGGATGGCTGGTTGGAGGGCAAGATGGCAGTGAGGGAGGCTGGGGCAAGTCGGGCACCTCTCACGGTTCTTCCCCTGCAGACCTCCGCACGGCCAAGGAGGTCCAGACGATAGAGGTCTATAAGCATGAGGTGAGTGAGAGCATGACCCACACTCGCTCTCCTCCCTCCTCAGTGTCCCCTGGGTCTTCACCTCCTCCTCTCCTCCCTCCCCCTCCCAGGAGTGTTCGAGGCCCCACAATGGGCGCTGGATTGGATGCTTAGCAACTGACTCAGACTGGATGGTGAGCTGGACAGAGTGTAGGACAGGGTGGCAGCTCTGGGGCCTGTCAGATGCAGGCCTGCGGCTCACAGTGGCTGGGGACCCCTGCCTTCTGCCCAGGTCTGTGGAGGGGGCCCAGCCCTCACTCTCTGGCACCTCCGATCCTCCACACCCACCACCATCTTCCCCATGCGGGCACCACAGAAGCATGTCACCTTCTACCAGGACCTGGTGAGGCCCCGTCTCTCATTTCTGCTACCCCCACCAGCTCCACTCTCCAACCCTGACCCCTGAGCCCCCTCCTTGTCCTCCACAGATTCTGTCAGCTGGCCAGGGCTGTTGCGTCAACCAGTGGCAGCTGAGTGGAGAGCTCAAGGCCCAGGTGCCTGGCTCCTCCCCGGGGCTGCTCAGTCTCAGCCTCAACCAGCAGCCAGCAGCCCCTGAGTGCAAGGTGGGTCTGGCAGGGGCTGGGGGAGATCCTGAGAGTGTGAGCAGGTCAGTCATGCCCCTCTTGCCTCCAGGTCCTGACAGCTGCAGGCAACAGCTGCCGCGTGGATGTCTTCACCAACCTGGGCTACCGAGCCTTCTCCCTGTCCTTCTGATCTCCGATGACACCCCTCATCCCTAGGGTTTTAGACTATTTTTTTCATTTTTTATAATAAAGTTTCAGGCTTTTCCATGCGCTTTCTTCCCAAGAATGAGGCCAAGTTGGTGTAGTGGTTTATATATTACTCTGTCTGATCTTGATACATAAATACACAGCCCCACCCCTGCCCTAGTGCTTAGAAAAGATAGACCTATAGAGATTCGGAAAATAGCTCTGCTCCATTTACCCCCGCCACCCACTGGGGCCCCTGGCCCCCAAAGCTGGCCCCTGCTCCCGCTGAGCCCCTGCCTGGCCTCCTGGGGTGGGGAGGGCAGCAGCTCCCCGCCTTGGAAGACAATCCGGGCCCTTGTCGCTCCAGGGCCAGACGAGGAAAGTACGCCCCAGAATGGGTAAGGGCAACCCCCTAGGCCCGGCTCTCAGGTCCTTCGGAAGAGGTTGCTGAGGAAGCTGCCAGCGGGCCCTGGGCCCAGGCGCAGCGAGAAGCGGGGCGCGGCGCGGCGTGGGGTGGGCGTCGCCGTGGCGCTCAGCTCCTTCTGGCGCTGCGATCGCAGCTGCTGCCCGATCACCTCCAGCATGTCGTCCTGCGGGAGGCGGGGTGGAGGGGCGGGTCAGCGCGCAGGCCCCGCCTCGGCCCCGCCCCTCCCTCGGGCCCCGCCCCTCACCTGCCAGGCCTCCAGCTCCTGCGTGAGCGCCACCTTCTGGCGGATGGCGCGCAGCAGCTCCCGGGACAGGGAGTCTCGCTCCAGCGAGACGCGGCTGAGCTCCAGCGACAGCTCCAGGGCCCTGCGGGCGGGAAGGGCGGAGAACGGGTCTGAGGGCGCTGGGGCCTCAGGGAGCAGGGGTGGCTTGGGGCTCCTGGACCCGGGCGGGAGGAGGGGCTCTGGGTCGGAGTGGGGATAATTATAACCCGTGTCACGGGTCGGGGAATCACAGCCCAGAAGTGCCAGCGGGCCCCGGAGGCCCGTAGCCTCGCTGGGGCAGTGGTGGGTGGTGGGAGGCTCACTTGTTCACGGCCTCGTCCCGGTCCGAGAGGGCGTCGTTCAGAGCCGCCTCCGGGTCGTCCTGCGCCCGCAGCTCCTTCTGCCTGTGCAGCTCCTCGCGCAGAGACTGCAGCTCTGCCTGCTGCAGCGCCATCTGTGGGCAGATGGGCGAATAGCAAGGCAGGCAGGCCGCGGCCTTGTAGCCCCTTGCCCGGCAGCCCTCCCCTGCCTGCTCGACAAACGCCCCAGGCAACGATGGCACGGTGATCCTGAGTCCACCAGGCTGGTGCAGGATGGCGGGGGGAGGGTGGGCTAGCTGGGGTGGTATAAGCCTGCAGGAGGGATGCAAGGATTGGCAGTGGCACTGGGGAGTGGGGTTGTGGTCCAGGAAGTCTTCCTGGAGAAGGTGGCATATAGGCTGGCTCTTGAAGAATGACGGCAAGCTTGTTGAGATGAAGGGCCAACCAAGTATAGGGGGCCTAGTGGGCAAAGGCTGAGAGGTGGATGTGGGAAAGAAACTGACAGCTGGAGGGGCCCTGCATCCAGCACTATGTCCCTCCCTGACCTCATCCTGCAGCCTGGCCACTTCTGCCTCCTTCTCTTCCAGTATCTCCGCTGGGCTCAGGGATGCTCGCTTCTTGGGGGGCTCTAGGCTCTCCTCCTGGGGTGAGGGCTGGAGTCTGGCCTCCTCTTGGGTCTCCGGGCACAGGGTGGTCTGTGGGCAAAGGAATCACTCCGTGCAGTGCGGAATGTCTCGTGGGAAAAAGAGGAGAGGTGGAGCCTGCACCCCTCCCGACAGCATGGGTAAGGGAGGTAGTGGGCCACGAGCTCACCGGGGCATCTTTGGGGGCGTCCACGTCCTGGCCCTGGTCTCCATCCAAGCTGTGGGCAAGCTCCGACTGCAGTGAGGCGCCGGACACGTCGGCGTCCTGGAGTCGTGACTCCTCCTCCAGCTCCGAGACTCGCCGCTGCAACCTCCGCAGGGCACTCAGTGCCTCCCCGGCTTCCGAGCGCGCGCGTTCCAGCTGCGGACAGTCGGACAGAGGCGCAGGCAGTCAGCGGGCGCACCCAGCGTCTGCATCCCTTGGCAGGACCACGGTGTGGGGGGCCGCCAGAGCGCCAAGGAAGGCCAGGCAGCCCCGCATATCCCCGCACCCCAGCGGCCCAGGCCTGCTGCCGCTCCTGGATCTCTGGGCAGCCTTGGGCTGAGCACTTCCCCTCCACAAATACCAATCTTCTTGCCCATAAAGCAGGGTGCGGCCTGGCCCAACCTCGCAGAACCCCGTCTCCTCCCCTGCACGGGCTACCTTCTGACCCTTCCACAAATTGAGTTGGTCCAGCATTTACTGATCCCTCCTGAGCCTCATACCTCACTACAGCCCCAGGAGGTTGGCACCATTACCATCCCATCTCACAGATGGGGAAACTGAGGCTGCTCATCCCACAATGCCAAGGGACACTGGATAGGAAGCCTGGCAATCTGACCCCACACGGTACAGACTGTCAAACATCAGACCATGCTCCCTCTCTCATCCTCTACTCTCCATCTCCACTGCCCCAGATATGGTCCAGGGGCTGTCATTTCTGGCCTGAACCACAGCCTCAGCCCCTCTCTGGCTTCCCAGCTGCTAGGCTCTAATGTATTCTAAGAGTGTACTTCCCCTGCTCAACAGCCTTCCGTGGCTCCCATCTGCCCTTAGGCTAATGCCCATGCTCTTGTGGCCAGGTTGCTGGGGATCCCAGTGATCCAGCGCTGGCCTATCTCCCAGAAAGCCCTGAGGCCATTGCCAAGGGTCCAGCTGGTTGCAACCCCCAAGCCCTGCAAGTCACCTCCAGGCTGTGCTCCCGCCTATCCCGCCGCAGCAGCAACAACTCCTCGTGGGTGGTCTGCAGTCTGCCCTGGCCCTTCTCCACCTCCTCACGCAGGCCACGAATCTGGGCCTCCAGGTCCTGCCGGCGGCTCTGCATCATCTGGTTCTGGGGGAAGGCATGGGAGCTGGGGCAAGGGTGCTAGGCCAGCCCCAGATAGCCCCTAGCCCAGCCCTTCTGGTTCAGACAGGCCCCTGACCCCAGTGGGCACTCACCTCTCCCTGCAGGCTCTCCAGCCGTGACCTCAGTTCTGCCCCGGCCAGGGCGTGAGCCTGGCACTGCCCCCGGAGGGTGTCCAGTTCCCTCTGAAGCTCCTGCTCAGTCTGGGAGGCCTGGGGAGAGGGGGTGGGGGACAGCAGAGCCTCAGCTGGGCCAAGCCTCACCACCAGCCCAACACACCCACCCTGCAGAACCCAGGCATCTGCCCCAGCTTGCCCAGGGCCCTGGGGTCAGGGCTGTGTCCCACCTGGGCGAGCTGCTGGCTGAGCCGGAGGTTCTGCTCGCTGAGTTCCCTGAGGGCCCGCGCTCGCTCGCGCCCGCTGTCCTGCTGCTCTGAGCGCTGCTCCCCGAGCTGGGCCCGCAGGGCCTCCACGTCCCCCTCCAGCTCCACAGCCCTGGCCTCCCACTCTGCCCCCCGGGCTGCCAGGCCCCGGCGGAGCTCATGGTTCTCTTGCTGCAGCCGCTGTGGGGGCCAGAGCAGAGGGGCAAACAGAGAGGCAGAGATGAGACTGGGGCAACCCCCAAGGAGAAAGTCCGAGGGGGTCTGTTCAACACAGACCTGAAAGCAAGAGAGACTCAGGGAGGAGGGGGCAAGAGAGAAGGATGAGGGAGCAGTAGAGAGAAGGTTCCAGGCCAGACAGGTGGCAGCCCCTGGACAGGGCAGGTGTGTGGGGCTCAGATGCCCACTCACCTCGGGCTGCTGCCTGGGCTTCTGGACCCGAGGTCGCAAGCGCCGTTTTTGGCGCCTGAGTCTGGCAGAATTTAAGCCCCGGCCCATGGCTGCACACCCCTGCCGTGTTCCAGGGGTTCTGGAGACCTGGCCTCTGCCCAGCCTCTCTCCCCAGCTCCCGGAAACTCCCTCTAATTAACCAGTTCTAATTAACCAGCCCTGGCCCCAAAACCTGTCTGACTAGCGGGGGGACGCCCTGGCACAACCAGATGCCCGGCGTGGGGAGGCAGACAGGTTGAGGGTTAACCTCTGGTCCCTCTCTCTGGGCCCTCAGAGCGGGGCTGGGGGGAGCCTGGCCGGGTGCCAATTACCACAGCTGCGCAGTCACCAGCAGGCACCGGCGGCAGGCTAGCGCGGCATCCGCTCTATTTCGTATCAGCCACTAGAGGGAGACTCATTGACGGCCTCAGTTTACAGACGAGGAAACTGAGGCTCAGAGAGGTTAAATGTCTTGCCCAAGGACA